AAAATGAACTAGCGGTAAATGCTGCGGCAGCGGCTGCCTTGCATGAACAACGCCGGTGACGACGACCATTGACGTCGCCATCGCCGCCGTCACCGTCGCTGTCGCCGCTGCCATCGCTGCTGCCGCTGCCGCTGCCGCTGCCCTAGTATGAAATTTGTATCTCTGCCAGTGCCGCTGCTGCACGCCGTCCCTCAGCTGTGTTGTTGCTATTGCTGGCCTCTGCCTCTGCTTCTGCCTCTGCCACTGCTGCTGCCACCACCTCTGCCTCTGGCTCTGTCGCGCTCTCAGTCGTGCTCATTTTCTGTTGTATTTTTTCGAATGCATTTAGTTGTGGCCCATCATTCCCTCTGCGCACGTCGCGCTGATCGCTAGCAGTCGCTCCCGTTGCCCGGCATTCGATTTCGTGTTCGAATTTGATTCCGTTTCAACTCGTCTCGTTTACGCTACGTTATTGAACACTTGAAGCACCGTGCTCTTTTTTTTCGTTCTTTCTCTGTCGAAACAACAACGCAATAAGTTTGACTATATTACGAGCAGGCGTGTGTTTTTTAAAAAAACTGAAGCATATTGTGTGCGAGTTACGCGATATTGTGAAAAGGCAAAAGCAACAACAACAACAAGAACAACAACGATATCAAAGACTTTGTTTATTTAAACTGTAAACAGAAGAGCGCGAAAATGGGTCGTCTGTTCCAATACAATCGCTTTGGCGCCACGGAAAGTGTTAATAAACGTAAAAAGGATACACAAAAGAAGGCACACGATAATGCAAAGCTGGTAAGTGGAAATTTAATATAATTGAAGATTAAAACAGTATGAAATATGATAAAAGACAAAACATCCGAAATACAATATGGGATACGTGAGCTAAGATTAAAATAATGGACTATGGAACGGGGAAAGAACATCTATAAGGATTATTGGAGTAAATTCGGCATATAAAATGGGATTAAGTTAAGGATAAAATGAAAGACTATGAAAGGCGAGTGAAGACATTTTGCTAGTTTTAGGGGAACAGTATCAGGTGGATATCCTTTAGGTAATGTGTCTATTAATAGAGAGGGAAAGGGATTATGGTATCAATATCAGCCATTTATATAGTAAAGAAACGCCTTGCAGAAAGGCCAAAAGTAAGACTGAAAGGGGAAAGAAATTAAATTGATTGGCATCAGAGAGATATATCTTTAAACTTATTAAGAGTCTCACTAATAAAATTCCAGTCTATATTCACAAATTTAACAACACTTTTCACAATTTAGCTGGCAAGGCTTATTTCATATACAGCTAATAGGTAACAAAAAGACACCTTTTCTGTATAGATAACACACAATTCGAAAATCTGTTCACATGCAAATTAATAGACCCCACAACTTCCACCCACAACACACAACACACACGAGTAATCTCCACAAATCCCACGTATCAAAAAAACAACACGCACCCAAACTTAAAGCCCCAACAACACATCGAAATGCCAGCACATGGAATCGATGGACTGGGGGGAAAATGGAGGGAAATGTAGGATGGGAGAATTCAAAATACGTACGACAACAATTAAAATGATTTAGTGTCACAGATACGAGAGACAACAACAACAACAACAACAACAACAACAACAACAACAACAACAACAACATAATAAACCCAACTGTCGACGTAAATCAGACCAAACACTAAATCACAAATAATCAAATAAATATGATTTGCATAAAAACAGAATCAGACTGAAGTCTAATCGCTGAGACAACAAACAGAAATTGGACGGGGAATCGATTAATAGAGAGCTGCTCAGATTTCGGACAAATCGTATAAATCAAAGCGAAAATGCGACGAGTTTTCCCGCATTCGATAAGGTTCGAGCATGGCAAACATATGTTCGACTCATAAAGATAATGATTGATTGTGGACTCGAAATGTGAATGCATTCGGGCCCATTTGTACACATGTGTTATATAAACATATTCGTGTTTGATTTGCGATAAGCGCTAACTAGGCTCCAGCTGGCCCATTGACGATGTCTGCCCGACTGTCGACATGCCCTGGATGCCAAAGCTGATTAGCTTATTAGTCGAATGCCTTAATTAAGCCGCGACGCACGCAGCTACCTGTATTAGCCACCTCCCTCCTCCCCCTTCAGCGCCCCAGCAGCAGCTTAGTTTTCTCTCTCTCTCACTCTCTCTCTCTCTCTATCTCGCTCTCTCTTCGGGCCTGACTCTCAGTTGAGTTCAGCAGCAAGAAAAGAGGTTTGTAATTTCAAACAGAATGACAGTTTGCGTTTTGGCTTCTGGCTTCTGGCTCTTTTATCTGCTTTGCTGTGCATTTATCATCAGCATTTTTCCTGCATTTCCATCAACATCATTGTGTTTTCCCGCTGCTCTTGTCATTTTTCACGGGAATTGACACCCGTCTCTGGTCGAAGGCAAGCTCTTTATCTGCATGCCCATTGTGGTCTCTGGTCTTTCGTTTATCTTCTCGTCTCTTGAGCTATGAAAATATTTTTGTAGTAGGTGTTATTCGAGCTCCTCCCAAAAAGGATTGTCCCACTGCGTGGGCGTGGCTTCTATGCGGGAATTCCGTTTACTGGAAGCGAGCAACATTTGTTTTGTTCTTGAACATAATGCATCGCTTGAGTGCGGAGAGTGGCAAAAAACAATTATAAGAAGTTCCAAGAATGTCGAGACATGAACTCTATTGATTTTGCTTGGCACCACTCGATGTTTCGATATAGATATAACAAATCAAAACATTTGCATTATCTCTTTTTCTCTTATTTCTGTTCCATCTTGTGATACTCCATTCTATGCAGCTTTTGCTCTCTTTTATGGACATATTAGAATCAATGAAATTGTTGATTCCTCATGATCTTATAGATTATGAAAACAATCAATTCAACAATTATCTCCATCTTTAAGCAAAGTCTCTTAACAGGAACTCTTGAATACTACTCGAACTCGAGTCCTACTCTCTCGCTTACTTTTCTTGTAGGTTCTTCTTCTTTACACCAAACCAAACTCTATTTCTAGCAGGCCTGCAGCATTTAGCTTATTACAAAATCCGTTAGATCTATTTGGAATAGGCCCAACCGCAATTTCGTATAAAGGCACGCCCAAGCGGCATAAATCGTTCGACACCTCAGGCCGTGATTTCCACATGCCACCAAATGTTGGCCTCGGCGACGACAGCGTCGCCAACGCATCCGTTATCAGAGAACGCGCCGAAAAATGCCAGAGGAAAACATTTATTGGCAAGACACGGACAGAGGCAGGGGCAGAGTAGGGATCAGGGAGTGGGACAGGGAGAGGGAGAGGGACGGGTCTGTTTACAGGCGCTGAAAAACGTTTTCAATTAGTTTTCGACGAGTTCAACTTGAAGTAAAAAGGCGACGCGCATCGCGGGTCAAAACGAACTGCAGACAAAGTGCACACACACCACACACACACACACACACACACACCAGACACACTCTACACACACACAGAGATGCGATACAAAACTAATAAAGTTGTCATACAAAATGTTGGCAACAGCGAACCCAAAACTCAAACTCAAACTCAAACATATGTCGCGCCGAGTCCGAGTGCCTGCCGCGACCATATTGCCAGATTAAAATCTAAAACAATTAAACGAATGATAAATACTTTTTCTGCTTTTCCGTCTTCTTTTCTTTTTGTTTTTCTTGTTTTTTTTTTTGCTGTGGAAAATTAAATTTGCTGGCGAAAACGGCAAATGAAGTCCACAAACAGACAAAGAGCGGCATCTGTAAGTGCAGCTCTAGTGGGGCTGGCTGCATATACCCTGTAGCCAAAGATGGGCCCAGAAAGGGTAGCATGTTTTAAGTATATAAATCAAATATATATTCTCTGTCTGTTCAACCAGCTGAAACGAGCTGTGACTTTTCTGTCTGTAACTCTCTCTCTCTATCTCTCTCTCTCTTTCTCCATCTCTCTCTCCCTTTTTTATAGCTTTAAAAACAAAAGGCTTAGCATTTAAAACATGTGTTTAATTAGTTTTTATCGCTTTTCTCTTTGCATATAATTAATATTTACATGCATAAAACTAATGAGCGTGTGTGGTATTTGAACCGTCGACTTTTCGCTCGTTAGTCCGATGCCCAGAAACTAAAATAACACGCAGTCCTTTGACAGCTGATCTTTAAGTTTGTCAATCTCTCTCTCTCTCTCTCTCTCTCTCTCTCTCTCTCTCATTCTCTCTCTCTCTCTCTCTCTTCACTTCCTTTAATTTATATCAAGATTAGACATATCTGTAGATTATCGAAAGTATATAAAAGCTAGAGACAGACCCTGCTTACAGGGTATCTTCCAGCTGGGCACACTCGACTAGAGCACATTTTTTTTTTTTGGGCAACCCTAAGTGGCTGGCAGCATAAAAGCAATGTTCATAATTTTCTATGAACTATTTCTAAATTTAAATCAAACGATTAGCAGCAATGAGCAGAGCATTTAAATTCGTGGGCACTCGGAAGCGGTCTCTTTCAAGGGCAATGATAAATGTGTGTGTGTGCGAGTGTGTGTGTGCACATGCATGCACATCTATATATATGCACTTGTGTATATATAATTTTAGACATGTTCGATGCATTTGCATTTTGATTTCTAAGTAGGCGACTGGGAAAGTTGAGAATAAATTGCGCCGCTTTTAAGTGCATTTAATTAACAATTTTCCATAAACGCAACTAAAGTGCAGGCCTCGTTAAGATTTATGGGCGAATGCAAGTGCCACAGCCAATGCAACTGCAACTGCAACTGCAGCGGCTGCTTCGGCTTTGGCTTTGACTGCAAATTGATGAGCATAATTAAATGGCTGGCGACGGACACATTGGCGGCGGCGCATTGCATGCATTGTTGTAATTTATGCTCCATATTGCACCCAAACACCCACCCCGCTCCCCTTGCCCCACTCTCTTGGAAAGACTTGCGTCTGCCCCAACGTTTTGAGTAAACAACAATTTCACTTATTTTCATGCCGTCTGCTCGTTTGCATTGTTATTTTTACGCTCGACTCAATATAAATTTTCACTGGGCACTCTTCGGGTTTTTCCCTCACTGTTGTTGTTGTTGTTGTGCTGATTGCCACATGCCACGCCAGGCAAATGTAATGCAAAAAAAAAGAAAGAGAGAAAGAGAGCTTTCAACCCCCTCCTAATCAGCGTAACGCCCGTCTGGTCAGCCAACAAAAAATAGTTTAGTTGGGTTTGGCTTTCGTCTAGCCATCAAAGCCACAACAACAACAACAACAACAACAGCAACAACTGCAACAAGAAGGAACATGCAACATGCAGCGACAACTGACAACATCATCGTTATCATCAGCTCGTCATGTGCTGAGCCGCGTCCGTTGAGCTGTTTGAGTTTGAGTTTCGTATGGCTTCCCACGAAGGATTTGTGTGCCTTAGAGAAATAGAGAAACGTCAAGCAGAAATAGCAAAAGGAAATTCGACTGGCCGAACTTTGAATACCCTGTAGGATGAGTCAAATAATGATTCCAATAAGATTTAGTTGTCAGTTACAGATTGGTTGCTTCTTTGATAGGAGCGTAATGAGATTCCTAGTTGCTGCTCATGAAACATATATCTGACGAATAAGAAATTCTTCAAAAACTCGTTTGATAATTTCCAAGGAGATCTATAGGTATTCTGCATTGGATTTTCCCATCTATTCTATTCTATATCGGATAGTTGGCAATAATTACAAAGTTATCTAAAGATAGACTCAATAACATACATACCTTATGGACTCGGACCTCAAGGCGTTACATATTTGATTTGCAAGTTCGAGTATCCTTCGAAAGGGTATCCAAACGGTGTGCAACAAGGATATGCCCGCAACAAAAGCGACTAGACACGCTTTTAAATGCCACAAACTTACAAAAGTTGGCTTCAACTCTGCACAACACAAGTATATCAAAAAGCAACATACTTCAAGCTCAAACTGAACATTCCCTTTTTGACTGCTCACGCACAGAAATAAGATCTCAACTCTAAACAGTTGCCGAGTTCAATGCACCATTTGCATATCTGCAGCCACTTGAGAATCATCTGTTCGTTCGGGCATAAAAAGATGCCCATAGTTGGCTGCCCACATAAATAAAAATGGCCATAAAATGCAATTAAAATAAACGAGCACGAAATAATTTCAACAATTTTAATTTCCATTTAATAAACTCATCAAAGTTGAGTTTTTTAAATTCCCATAGAAACGAATATAAATAAATAAATAAGGCAGCAGCTCAATTCGAAGAGCGTTTGATATGACCCCATTTTTTACACCTATAAAAAAACGAAAACGTGTCGAACGACATTTAAAAAAAAGGCAACTATAAAGAGCACACAATGCCACATGCCGCATGCCGCATGCCACATGTGTCCAAACAAAGGATTTTCCAGCGAATGCGACGCTAATTGCAGCCGCAGATAGGAAATAATAAACGACAGCATATCCAAAACTAACCCGGCCAGAAACTATAAACTATAAACTATAAACATTTTACAATTTGAACTCAGCATAAAACGAAATTAGTGGAAGAAAAAAATGTTAAAATCATTTTACGATATTTGGGGCACACACTCGCGCATGAATATATGGGATATATGTGTGCAGGTATTATGTGGAGCTGCTAAGTAAGTAGTCCCCCCCCCTCCCGCCGCGCCGAAAAAAGACGAAAACGAAAAACCGAGTTCATAAATTTTCAAATGCGCCGCGGGACAGACAGACGCGTCTTTTCCAAAATGTCATAAACTAGTCGCAGTTCCATGTATATCTCTCGGCTCTGACATTTTGAAAGCCCTCCCCCTCCCCCCGAAACACACACGTGTCTGTTCAACATTTTGTTGTTAAACTTTTCGGTGTGGCATAAAACTGTCAAATTAGCCGCGCAGCACACGAAACGAAATGCCATTCAAAATATTCAAATAGCCAAGTTTGTTGCATATTACTAATTTACAGCTGTATCTGAACATTGCTGACATGCCGCAGCTACAATTGATAGATAGATATGTTTTGGCTTATGCGCAGGCCATACACTCGGAGAAATATTCAACAGTTTTTTAATTAATTGTAGAACAAAGGAAATCAAGGTTCAGCCAGGATCAATACTTACTTAAGTCAATCAAGAACTCTTATATCTATTATTTCTTATCTCAAACTTAACTTAAGTTTTTGTTGCACTCTCTGAGCAAGTTTGTGAAATCTTTTACTCAATCGTTGTCTAAATTTCAAAAATTGCAATACTTTTTTAATGAGCGAGATATTATTCTTCTGGCTAGTTTTTATAACTTGACATATCAAATTGTTGCTATACGCTTGCTGGAAGATTCAAGTAAGTTTTTTACTTAATTCTAGAAGAAACAAACCAACCCAAGGCTGTTTTTTATTCTCGTAACATCAAAAACAAACTTTGAAATCGTAAAGAATACAACTTAATTGAAAAATATTTACTAAAATCTAAATTCAAATTTAGTTTAAGCTTGTAGAAGTAAAGCGATATTGATTCCATTCCGTTTGTACTAGAATTTGGACTGGCATTTTCTCCGAACGGGCTCTAGTCTGTGGACTTGAAGGATTTTCCTAACCATTGGCTGGAAAGGTAGCTAGCTGCTGCCTACATACTCAATAATAGTTAACTTATGTATTAGCAATTTCTACATAACCAATTCAATAAATTGGTTTTGTGGTTTTTTGCTGTTCCAGCTACTGATTGGCCTTGCGTGTGGCCTGTTGTTGTTGTTGTTGTTGTTGCCTTCTGGGGTGGTTTTATTTTATATAAACGTTTCGCTGAGCCACTTCAGCAGCTGTTTGATTTTCCAGCATGAAATTTGTGCATATGCCAGGGTGTGTTCTTCTTCTTCTTCTTCTGCTTCTTACATATCGTGGTAGAAGAAAAGGCACCTTCGCTGCACAAAAGGCAACATTTCAATAAGTTCATCAAGAGTCCTGGGCCCGAAAGGCGCAACTCATGCCGCGTCCACTTCAACTAATTTCCACTCTTCTTGTCAGTCTTTCTCTCGCTCTGTAAATGCACAATAAATGGAAAACTAACAACTGTTTTTGTTAGAAGTGTGCAATGCAAGGCAAAGGTGCCCCGGGCAGCCAGCTCTATTGTTATCGTTGCTGTTGCTGTTGCTGCTGTCAGCTGGCTTAAAGGTGCTCGGTTGGGGCTTATGTTCTGTTACCTGGTTTCGTTTTTATTGTAACAGCAGAATTTGATTACGAAAATATGCTAACACCTCGCTGGCCAAACAATGGCTCTGGCCATGCTTCATCATCAATTAGAGTTACCTTTCCGCAGGCCAGGATCAACACGGCTCCGATCCAGCCCATATTTTTATTGCATTAGCAGGCAGCAGGCAGCAGGGGAAAGGGAGTGGTAGAGCGGGGGAGGGGAAGAGTAAAACACCTTTTGGAAACTACTGTGTGTCTTCTTCTGGCTGTCGGCTATCGGCTCTGCTCCATTAACATTTATTTCTTGTTGCTTGTCTTGGCATAAATTAAAAATCATGTATTTGAATTTTTCTTTTGTATTTTCCTCTTCCATGTGTCTGTGTTTTTTTCGGGGCATTAAACGCCTGTTTTCCGTTGATTTCCATTGTGTTTGATTTAAGCCGATAAAAGGTAAACTTTAACGCTTCTTACACGCCGCAGCTTTCAACAGATTTATTTATGCGCCATGCATGGCCAAGACATCAAAGAGCCAAAGAGCCAAAGAGCTGCGGCCACGGCTTGTTGGCATTCAATTAATGGCCAGCCCGTGTTGCATGCAACATCACACACACAGCACACACACAGGCACAACAATTCAATTGTCCATGCAAATTGATGCAGCGCCGGAAATTTAAACAGTGCATTTCCTGAAACGAAAACACAAGATTGGAAAAATCTTGAAGAAAACTGAGCATTTATTCATGATACAAGTGCTGCCTGCAGCTGTTGTCTGGCCGTCATTCTATTCATTCGTCAATCGTCAATCGTCAATCATCAATCTGCAATCAAATTCAATTCAATCAAATTCAATTTGGCTTAACGCATAAAACCATTTTTTATACGGCTACCTGAACTGCCATTGTCCTGGCAGCTACTCGATTGAATGCTCATTACTTTACCATTTCATAATACACATACTCAAACGAGTGTGCCTGGAGTGTGTGTGCGTGTGTGCGTGTGTGCGTACGTGCTGAAGTGTCATTGTATTCTGCAAAGGATCCTCTCTCTACCCCCCTCTCACTCTCTCTCTCCCTTTCTCTCTCTCTGAAGTGCATCGCACACTCGAACGCACTTTTTGAGTATTTATTGAATACTCTTGCATAGGTGAATGATTCGAACGATTCGCATTGTTTGCCAAGTGCCAAAAAGGGGTGTGTCACTGCACACGGGGTGTTTGTGAGTGTGTGCGTGAGTGTGGGAAGAAGTGGCGTGGAGCACGCAACACAGTTCGCAGAGCAATTACAATTGTCAAAAATGAGTTGAGTGCCTTGTAAATTTTATCTCCAGGATATGGGCTGCTTGTAATTTAGATAATGTTTGGCAAAGATCTGTGGCTTATTTAGAACAAACACCTAGCCAGGACAGGATTTTTATGTAAATAAAAACCAATTGTCGAAGCTAAGTTGAGTGCCTGGCAACTTTTATCTGCAGGCTATGAGCTGCTTGTAATTTAGCTGATGCCCGGAAATTGCCGGTGGCCTGCTTAGAACTACTTCTATAAGCTTGCCATGCCGTGCCGGATTTATGAGTAAAAACAAACAAAAATCAATTTTAATAATGCACAGATGACACAAAGAGCAAAACATGAACTCTTCCTAAAGCCGCTCACCCAAAGGCGAAAGTGCTTAAGCATATGCATATTTTATCAGGCAAATGAAAAGCAAATAAAACAACTGGCAAACCAGGCAAATTACAGACACAATGAACAACTGAAACAAGCGCATTACAAGGATAACACGGACAGGGACTGGGCTGACCCAAAGGCATTAGCCGAGCCACCATCTCTCTCCCTCTCTCTCACTCTTCTTTTCTCTCTCTCTTTCTCTGGCTTGAACAAAGGGAAAAGCCAGGGAGAACAATGCGTTGACTGTGAAATAAAATGCGCATAATGTGTGTTATCAGGCCAAAGCAGGCCAGGAGCAGAAAGGACACCTTTTGTGTCGGACTGTTACATAAACGCGCGCACTGCGTGTGAAATAGGAGCGGGCAGTTTTGTTTTATTAGGCATTTCGGGCACAGGTAGCATTAGGCACAATGCCAGACAAATTTACCGACTTGACCAAAACTAATCTCCACGATTGTTTTCACCTTCTGGGCCACAGTTACGCAACGTGATCAATTGTCCCAGCTACTCTGATGTATATGGCACCAATGCCGGCAAAAACCTGGACCTGGCCTTCAATAAGTGCCAACAATGGAGCAACAAGCTGCAGCCAACAACAGAGGCAGCCCCTGCTGCAGCCGCAGCCGAGGAGCCCGCACAGAGTCGCACACACAAGGTCTACGACAGCATGAAGAACTTTTTGCAGCGCAAACTGTTTGCGCAACCCTCGCAAAAAGAACGCGTGCAATGCGAGGAGCCAACCAGCGACTATGATGAGGTGTGTATAAAGCTTAAGATAACTATGTGAAACCCTTCAACTATTAGCATACCCTAGAGTAGGATGGCAGGCAGTGGGAATCTCTTGATAAGGACGAGGAGCTGCTTCCACATATCGCTCTGTGTAAAACTGCAAGAGCTAAAGACTTTAGATGTGAATTAGATATTCTTTTATATCCCAAATCATAATTTGATGTCCATATCTCCTCTCCTTTCTATAATATCGATAAATATCGATCTTGAAATTTGGGTTTTTGAGAATAAGTCGAAGAATATGAGAGCTAGATGCACCCAACTCGGTATGAAGGTTACCATATGGTATAAGGAGCATCTCATTTGTTGGATACCTTTCCCTTTTCCCGATATTAAAGACAAACAATACGATTTTTTAAGCTAGAGACTTGGTGTTTTGCATTTTTT